CTTACTTACTCGGAAATATGCTGATGATGGGGACTAACTTTTTGATGCTGGATAACATCTAAATGTTTCAATTCTCATATCAAGCGGTTCTGACGATATTTTCAACTAACAATGTTCAAAAGGATTGATGACGTGGAATGGACTGTCAACTTGTTCTACTAACAACAGTGAGCTCGTTTACATGTTTTTTGATATAATTAAAAAGTTTACCATCTTAGTTAAAAAATAGTTAGCCGATTAGAAACAATATCTATTTTAATTAATGATATATAAGCGTAACCCAATTTAAATTTATTGACTCATCAAACCAAAGGTTCATTAAAAAATAGATTCCAATGCGTAATATGTCATAATTTTACTTAAAAAGAATTTTTTTTATTGTTTTTTATATTTACTGAAGAAGGCTGAGGTAACAGCCGAAACGTTTATTTTTTATTATCATTGTATTTACTAAGAAATAAATTAATTATGTGTTGACATTACATCTCTCACTAATTTAATATGCTCGTTATAGTTGGCCCTGTCTTTCTAAATCTTAATTTTATAATATTACACGAGCCTTGTCTTTAAATATCTAATTGTATTCTTTATTAAATTTGTATTTTAAGTTTGGCTATTTAACTTAGAAACACATCCTGTATAATATAAAAAAACTATTAATCTCGGCTCGAATTATTGTGTTACAATAAAAATAAAATCTCGACGGCAATCGGAGCCTATGCGGATGACATGCACAAAATTAATAAATTAAAATGAGATCTCAAGTCAAACTCATTTATTAAATTCTAAACGTTTCGACCCACTTCGGGTCTTCTTCAGTAGAATCCGCAAATAAATTAAATATCATTTTCCTCCCTATTCAAACCGTCCGGCCGTCGGAGTGTCTCCCTAACGGTGACCATCGTCAGGAAGGAAGCGGAGCAGTGACTCCCTTACCAACACCCGACAGCAAAAACAGAGAGAAGACGATGCTACACGTGACACATCACTCTAACGACTGACGATTTAATAAATGAGTTTGACTTGAGATCTCATTTTAATTTATTAATTTTGTGCATGTCATCCGCATAGGCTCCGATTGCCGTCGAGATTTTATTTTTATTGTAACATCCTGTATAAGTTACAAAATTATATATTAAATATTTTAAATATTTATTATATTTATAAACTATTTTTAATATATTATGTAAAAATTAATAAATTACTTTTATTATTTGTATTTTATGTATACTGTGTGATATTTATTATATATGTATATCTTGAATTTTCAGTCATTGTTACCAGGAGGAGAAACTACAGAACGTCAATTAACATTAGCTATTTGGGCAACAGCTGGAAAAATGCTGGAATTTAAACCATTACCTGGATTTGATCCTAATCTTGATAATTTGCAACATTATCGTGCTCAGCAAGAAATTGATTGTGATGAAGTATACCCTGGAATATATATTGGCGATGGGTAAGTAGAAACAAATATACAGGGTATCCCACAAAAAGTGGCTATCTCCTTTTATCTTTTAAATTAGAAGATATAAACTATAACATGCAATACAGAGTGGGGCCATTTTAATGTTCCACCTCACATATATTTTTTGTAAGCTTTTTATAAAAAAATGTTTCTTACAAAAGTTGTAGAATTTTGTGAAGGAAAGAAGATGGTGCTGATTTTTTCCTAAAGGGCAATTTTCAAGGTCATTAAAGATTTTTCTTTTTTTAAATAAAACTACTTTAATTTTTTGCAAATTATTCTCGCAATATTCACTGTAAAAAGTTATTAGGGTAAGATGACCAAAAAGTGAATAATTTACGAAATATTTTATAAATCAAACGAACTCACCGAGTAAAGTTCGATTTGAATTATGCCAGAGTTTTGTCCGGATGGATAATGTAGTCGTGCCTCTGTGCGCGTCATTACCAACAGTTCAACACACCGCCAAAGCGAAAGAACCAAGCGCTCTATATTATCGTCGGATACTGTCCAGTCAGGCCAACTCAAGACTACTAATCTCATTGTTTAGAACTTTATTGTAAAACATTTGTATATTTCTTAATGGGGTGGGAGAAGGCTTAAAAACCTGGGAAGGAGGCTCCATTCGGACGAGACTCGGGCATAATTCAAATCGGAACTTTATTCGGTGAGTTCGTTTGATTTATAAATTATGCCCAGAGCTCGTCCGGATGGATAATGTAAATGTTTCAGATTAGTTGAAAAGTTTTATAGTTGTATTAAACCTTTTTCCATGAAGAAAGGTATAAATCTTAAAATTATACTTGTTTACACAAATAAAAAAATATGATAAGTATGACGAAGGAAAAAAGGGAGTAAATTCCCAAAGATAAATGTCAAACAAATATAAATTACCAGCAAAGGTTACGAAATACTTTCTAAAAACAAAACAAAAAATCATAAACTGAAACAGACTTAAGGTCTCACTGTATTAGCGAATTCTTCTGGGTTTCCTAATGGTCGATTGTAAAATCCCGCAAAAACTTGAGAACTACCCGACCATCCAGCTGCTCGCTTGATTAGATCCAAAGAAACACCTCTTCGAGCCGCTAATAAAGTGGAAGCGTGTCTGGTACTATGCGCCGTGAATATGTCGGACCTCACGCCACGGTCTTCTAGGGCTGTTCGTAACCAACGACTAATAGTTTGCTGTCCTACTGCCTTATGGGGTTTTGACCATGAAATAGCCTATCGCAGGAAGGTGAACTGAGATTTTCAGTAAGCTTCAAGTAAGATTTCATTACACTAAAAATGTAGAGACTTTCATTGCCGACAAAAGGGGAAAAACTGAAGAACGGTTGAGGGCGTCCAAGAGCTAACGTCTTTATATTGTCTAGGTCGTGAATGATGAACTTATCGTTAAGCGAGATTTGAAAAATTCTAAGTGATATTAGTGTTTGCACCCGCTGACTTGTGCTTAGGGCAAGGAGAACTAATTTTTTTCGAAATTACATCTAAAGGTAACTCGTCTTATGGATATCAGGTGAAGAGTTTCGCTATAACAGGAACTGGATTCCAAACATATTCGTAACGAAGTTGCAAAGGTTTAAGTATCGACACGTCTCTACAAAATCGTTCAACTAACGTGTGGTTTCCATTTTCGTTATCTGAAACTAGGAAATCCGCCGAGCAAATACTATTAATCGTGGAATATAAATTTACTTGCTTCAGTTCACGCGATAAAAAATCGAGAAATTGCGTGGGGTTCGGTGACCAGATCGAGGTCGACTGGTAGAAATGCCACCAGCTCCGTAGAGGTTTAGTATACTGTTTGAGCATCGATTCTGATAAGGAACCCAAAGTAGCTTCTATTGCTCTTGGTGGTACTCCACGGTTCACGAACGCCTACCTAATAAGCGCCCTGTCGCCAGGGAAAGAGTCCTCCATGCTGGGTGGCAATCTCTTCTCTGAAAGGTGAAGAAAGGAGATTAAGGAGTGTAAGGACTGATAATAATAGGTTCTCCAATTAAAAGGCGTTGGAAAAGAGGGAACCACGCTTGTGAAGGCCACCAGAGTACCACGACAGTTCCCTCTACCCTGTTATTTAGAATTTTGCAGAGAACTCGAAGCAAAAAAATGAAGGAAGGAAAAGCGTAGAATCTTAAATTCGACCATGAAAGCGTGAAAGCATCAATCGCTACAGTGCCTGGATCAGGAAACGAGGATATATAAGACGAGCATTTTGCATTGATGATTGAAGCAAAGAGATCTACTTCACAAAGACCAAAACTCGACGCAAAGCAAAGAAATACCTCCTCTGATAACGACCATTCCATGTTCACGCTGATGACTGCAATTTATGATCTGCAATAGTATTGTCAATGGAAGCAATGTAAGAGACGAAAAGTATAATGTTTCGATTTTTACACCAATCTCAAATCTGTTTCAATAAGGACAACAGATGAGGATATTGAACCGAACCAAAACGTTAATACAAGCAATCGCTGTAGTATTGTCTACTCTGAGAAGAATATCGCAATCTCTGAGATCTGCCACAAAACATTGGAGGGCGTAAAAAACTGCTTTAAGCTTTCAGAAATTTATGTGATTGGATTTGTCTTCCTCTGACCACCAACCATGTGAACGGAGCTCACCGCAGGAAGCTTCCTAGCCTAACAGACGCATCAGAAAAAATCTCGTGACCAGGTACACCGTAGCGGATGACATTAAACTTAACTTGATCCGGCTTCGAAAAAATATTGATCCACCATCGTAAATCTCCTAACAGGTGAGAAGGAATATCCATAATAGCGGAGTAATTAAACTTTGCATTCAATTCAAAATCAAAGCAAGGCTAGAAATGCTCTTTTAAAAGCTCTGGAATACAAAAGACCATATTGGACAGCGAGGCATACTGAGATTAAGGATCCAATTATCCGTGCAAAATCTCGGATTCAGCATGTACATTTTTCTAAAAATTGTAACATTTGCTTGAGTAAATCAGTGTGACGCTTCGGTGGGATTGCTACAGACTGCTATACCAAATTGAAAATGAATCCGAAATATTTGCAGTTCTGCAAATGATCCAGTTGTAATTTTGCATAGTTAAAAAGAAATCTGAGCGAAGACAATAATTCAATGGAAGCGTTTAAGTTGCCAATACAGTCCAGTCTTGAGGAGCCTATAAGGAAATTATTTAGATAAATAATTGAGCAGTAGTCCTCTGACCGCAAACGAGCACCAACTGGCCGTAAATATGAAGGGGGCCGTGGATAAGTCAAAAGGCAAGACTGTAAACTCATAAACAAGTTTCCGCCACTGAAAACGGAGAAAATACCGATATTCCTAAGCAATGGGCACTAATAAATACGCATCCTCAAGATCAAGAGTTGCTATTCAAGAACTTGGAGTCATCAGCTGGACCACCGTGCGCTAATCTTCTAATTGGAAATGTTGCGGACAAAGGAAGCAATTGAGATCCTTAAGATTCAATAAAAAACGCATTCCTCCAGAATCTTTCTTAATTAGGAAAAAACTAGACAAGTACTGATTCTCCGAGGGAGTCGCAAGTACTATGGTCCCTTTGTTTAATAATCTCAACATCTCTTTATCACAAGTTGCCGCAAAGGACGGCGAAAATGAAGGCTCTTGCAAGTGATTGCGGCGAGGTGGTGTCGAAACAAAGGGAATGCGGTACCCTCTGATAGCCTGGAGGATTTTTGGGTCAATTGTTATACTTTTCCACCTATGCAAATAATGAGCTAAATCGTCTTGCTGTCCTTGTTCTATTGATGTGTCCTGGAGCTGGATCTCAAGCGATGAGCTTGGTTGCAGCTCGATAATCCTCCTGCTCCTGTCCGACAAGTCAACATTGATTTGCGATGTACAGGAGCTTTGAAGTTTGGCGTCTTAGGTTGGTTAGGCTGTAGGCGATTTGGTTGGTTAGAGACTCTGACCGTTGTTGGCGGGGCTGAGGTAGGTCTCGACAAATCACGTGCTGCCTTTTTATAGGCCTGAGCTACTTTCAAATCTTCAACAAAGTTTGATCCAAAGAGCCAGTCATCCACTTCGGAGGAATCCGCTGTTGATTTACCCACAAAAGTCAAGCACGGCTTTATATAAGCTTGTCTGGCAAAGAACAAGCGGTATTGAAGATCAGCCAGAAGATGATTGACCCCTAAGCCAATCTTTTAATGATGTTTCTTAAAAAATCATTTTAAAATTAATTGAATATTGAAAGATCAATTATGGCGAAGCCAAACGCATTCAGGCAGGCCTCAATTTGAATTTGTCTCTTTACTTGATATTCATCTCTTTTAATGATGGCTTGACGTTTAGTGAAGGCTGAAATCAGTTCTTTATTAATCTTTGGAGGGTCTAAATTTACTAGATCTCCCTTGAGTTTATATTATAAAAGCTTCTGACAAATTTCCTTTTTTAGCTCTATGCGAACCTCAGTTTGTGTAGAGTTAAGGATGATAGGGTCTCAGAGTAAAGCACTTGTCGATACCTGCTTTTCATCAAATAATTCACTCAGTAAGATTTCTCATATCTCAGGGTTAGATGATGCGTAGGACACTGTTGTATCTGTGAAAACCACCCTGCGATCCCTCGGCTGTTCCAATTGACTCTCTGTAAGAAAAGGATCGAGATACAGATAATGCAATCGGCTGTATTTTCTCTTCGCTGTAACGAAAAAATATATCTGGTGCGACGCCCCGGTTCTGGAGAATCGTTTGCCTATCTGTTTCAGACTCAATCTCTGGGGAGACGATCATGTCTATGCTCGTTGAAGGGATACCCTCGCCCGCTGTCGGAACTGAGGTCGCAGATCTCAAATTAGACGTGACCTACTGCTTTATAAAAGCAAGAATGTTCTTCAAAGTATTAGTCAAAAATAACTGGGACGATGCTGAAAAGGCGAAAGATTCCTTGATGTCGCATCCGAATAGGAGAAGAAGTATCGCTCGACGATTTGCGAGGCCTAACCTCAAAATGGCGGTCCTGAGATC